CATTTCCTACTGACTTCCACTGTACATCCCTACCTCAGTCACACACACACACACCTGTACCATCTTCCTATAGTAAAGGTTCCATGTGTACATTAGCTGGAGGTGAACTACTGTAGAAGCAGCTTTGTAGAGGATGCATTGACCGTATGGAATTGGGTCGGTGAACGTCCATGTTGCTATTAAGGGCCCTCAGTGGATGTCTGAGGGCCATTTTCTAAACATTACAGTTCAGCAGAAGAGAATTAAAACCCTGACTACTGAACACTATTAGTGTTAGAAATAGAATATTATTGCATTAGAAAGAATGAAAGACACTGTTTGTTTCTGTGTGTGTGTTTGCTTTTGTGCTTTAGTGACTGCATCTGTATGCATAGAGTTGATGAACCAAACCAGGGGTCTGTGGGGAGGCAGTGTGTGAAGGATTGTATCCCCGTCAGCCACGTATTAGTGGACCTGTCACTTTGTAAACTGTGACTTAAACTCATTTCCATTCTAAGTTAGGAAGTGTAGAGAGAACTCCTAAGTGCATTAGTGTCACACGCAATTTAGGTCCACTATCTCTCAGGCGAGGGTGGAGGGGGGGTGGGGAAAAAGGTTGCACAGGGAGCAATTTAAACAGCAATCTGCAATCAAAATGACTCTCGAAGCCATTCCCCAATTTCAAATATTTTGCTTCTCAACATAGAGAGAAGGAGAGACTGTTCAATTGTCTGTTATATTGTTTTCCAATATTAAATATTAAATATTGTATAAAAGGTTTTATTAAAATTATGTTCCTTGTTCATTTCACTTATAACAAATTACATTTGTCACTTAATAAGGACAAGGATGTCAAATTTGTTGTTGTAAAAATCAGTAATCCAGCAATCAAGAAGATCCAAGTGTAGAATAGACATTATAAACATTACCATGGCGAACATTCTTGAAAATCTTTTTCCTTTGTTCTTGTTATTTTTGACTTTTCTTGTTTGATATGCGGCAAAGTCTGGCATGCCTTTCGATGTAGTTGCAAGCCTGGTTGGCATTCTTCCTCAGGCAGTACGTACTTCCCTCTTTAATAGGGATTGATTTTCAAAGATGTGGTTCATTGTCAGATACAGCAGGTCATCGACTCCTGCCGCATGTTATCCCCTTTAGACTTGACCTTCACTCAACCTTGACATCTGGGGTCACCAAATGTAATGCACCCTAACCTGCTTCCGTCACCTATACGTTGTAGCTATGGTGTCACCACTGGGAGCTTACAGCTCCTGACTGTGTAGGAGTACTACTGCGAGAGCAGGCCTGTAATTGTTTCACAGTCTGCATACACTATTCCCCCGTCACATGTTCTGCTCCATCTATGTTAACAGTTTATTTATTGTGTTTTTGAGTGCATGTCAGTGCTTATGTGTGTGCCAACATGGTGAAAAGCAGAAAAAAGTGCAGTGAGAGATTATACTGGTTTTGTGCATTTAAAAGAGATAAAACACGACCCTTTAGCCCCATGTCAATAAAGCCTTTGCCAACCCCATCCCTGCAACAAGTAAGCATCTAGATCACAGACTTTTAATAGAACAAAGTGCTTCTGTGTTACATCACATTACTTAAAATGTCATCCCCACTGATTGCTTCTTCCACTCCTATTCTTCTCCTTTTTCTAGTCCACCTCCTGCTTCATCCTCAGGCGAAGCTGTTGTGCCCAGCACCTTGGCTGACACCGGCTCTATTAGTCATTCCTGAGAGTTAGTAACTGAAAGGGAGATTTGTGTTATGTAGCTGCCCGAAAATGGCATGGTTTACGGGGGCTCTGACCGTCCTGAGTGAAGCAAGGAGAGTCCTCTTCTGGCTCAGCTCTTCTGCTCTTTGGCACAGCTACTTAAGTGTTCACTCCATCCAGAATGATCAACGATAAAACATGTTAATAGTAATTCGTCAAAAGTTTTAGGCATTGCAAAAGGAATAATAGGTATAGGTACAACAAAGAGTAGCTTCATGAGATTTCATGGAGGTAACTAATTATATACATTGTGCGCAGACAGTGCTAAATAGCAATAAAGAGAGACCGTTAAGATGTTAATGTGTTACCATCATCAGTGCTTCCTGATTATAGATTTCAGGTTCTATAATACCTGCATAAAAAAAGAAAAAAAATTCAGTTACTCAGCTACATTTAGGTGAATTAGCTACCATACATGAGAATGCCCATCTCCCCAACTGCAGTGGAAACCTTCATCAAATTAGAATTGAAGCGATTATCCAGGGCAGAGCAAAAGGACAAAATCGATAGTTCTTTGTTCGAGGCTAAAATGAAGAATGAGCATTCAGCAGGGATCTCTCTCTCTCTCTCTCCCTATTGCTCCCTTCCTCTCCCTCTCTCACACACACACACACACACACACACACACACTTACACACACACCTCTTTGAATCGCATATTCTATTCCAACATCCTTGACCGTATCAGCATTAGGCTTGCACGGTGAAGTCTCAAACCTTCTGTCTTGGTTTTTCCCTCCTCTCTTTGGAAAAAAACCTCAAAGGAGAGGCACTTCCTTAGATAATTGCAATTGGTAGTTTTGGCTGGATGTTCCAGCGTTGGCCCAGGCCCAGCTCTCTGTGTTGGGGTAATAGGGAGTGGGAGTAGGACTGTTGGGCATGTTCCCAGCCTCCACAATGCCCTTTGCCCCTTTGCCTCACATGGGCTCCGCGAAGCCTCACATTAGCTGCTGGGCCTGAGCAGAACTAGAGAAAGAAAACTACATAATGAAAACAGAGAGAGGGGACTTGCTTTCTGCTGGTCAGGTACCGCCATTATACTGCAATTGGGGGAAAAAAAAGCTAAATGGAAAGTGCTGAACCTTTGTCCTACTTCTTGAAAGCCTGCTACTTGGACACGCTGCAAATGACACATTAAGGCTTTGTTATTCAATCAGACTTTTCGTGTGATTTCAGTTTCAGCCCACAAACTTACATCAAATTGTATTAGAGCAAAAATATCTCGCCACGAACACTCTCAAAATGGGTACACTCTATTTAGGAGAGATCTGACATGACGGGAGAGTTTTATTTGCAAATTCAATGGTAAGTGTTCTGTTAGTCGGAAAAACAAGAGCAAAATCAAAGCGGGATGCAGCTGAAGTCCATTTAAGTAAAAGGAAAAAAATAACTGAATCCTAAACAATAATGGCTTGATTTGGCCAGCATTCCTTACTGAGAGTGTTTTGTAGAAACTATAGAGCATTCATTTGAAATTGAGTTTGCCTCGACAAGGAGAAATTTGCAAATATTTCAAAGCATAAAGCAATAAAGGTTCTTGGAAATGGTCAGTATAGTTTACTGTAATGTAAAACAGAAAGTCAATGCAGTGAACTTGAATTATACTGGAATTGTCCTTTTAAATTATGCTGCATATGTTATTCAAACCCTCTGCAACCAGCCACTCACATTTATGTGGAACACAGACTCTCAATTGCATGCTGTTGTCTATCTCTTACACTCACACACACACACACACTTTAACACACACATCGCTTCACATAAAGGACTGCAATCCATCAATGTGCTCATTGCTGTCATGAGTAAAGAGACAGAGCTCTAAGGAACAGTCCTCTAACACAAATTTGATTTACCTCAATTTGCCTCAAACAGTGACATGTGAGCACTTGAAGTGCTAATACAGACTGGCACCTTTTGCTGCCAACAGGCATGTGTCTGTTTAGCTCAGTTTCAAAGCCTGGGCTCATGCTGCAATCTGATTTACTAAAGGATGGTATTGGATATAGAGTTTTAAGTTATGAAAATTGACTGTGTAATACAGTGGTACTGTGGAGAAATCTAACGCTTCACATGGGAATACAGCAGACTATGTGTTTCTTTCAGTAAGAAATTGATAGAGGTGTCATTGTGGTTTCAAATTTGATACAGCACCTTTCGTAATTTCCACCTAAACAGTCCCTATTAGCCAAACTGTTATGATATACTGCATACAGATACCAAATCACAAAGTCATCAAATGCCATTAATCAACTATAATTAGTTTCCCAAAAAACTGAAGACAAATTCACAGAGCCTGACGTATACTATTAAAACAAATAACCGTTAAAAGCTCTCTTCAATAAAGGAGTCAGGTTGGAAACATGTGATCAAGAAACCGTACTTTGATAGGACAGACTTAAATCAAAGTAACGGTCGTTTCATACATAAAAACCATCTGGCACCCTAATTATACAATAAAGCACCTCTTTGCACCACCAGGCCTCATAACGATTTAGGCATGCTAGTCATGGAAATGTCAACCTGATGAGTTAGGCTTTCTGTTTACATATTGTATGAACCTGGCCATTTTGGATCTGAATGAATCCAATTACCTTTATCCCAACTTTTGCCATGTCACTCTACTATGTCACAAACTGTATTATCTGTGGTCTATAAAAATGAGTTCCCACACATAAGTTGGACTGACACAACATCTATGTCAATTAACTCATCATGCACTCATCAACAAAGGTATTCCCACCAACTGTGTAGCAAAAAAATGAAATTGCCCCCTGTATCGATGTATATGTATGTATGATGTGATACTGGCTATTGATATACAGTAGGCATGTGGATATCTATAGTCTTTTTAGCTCTGAGGAAAATTCAAACTCAAAAGTTTAACTGTGGAAGATGCCCACTTGATTTGTCTAACTGAGGCTGCCTTGGACTAAACTTAAGAATGTATTTTTGGACAGGATGTGGACTGCCGATTTTGTCCCCATCACTTACATTAAAAGTGCATTAGGACTGTATCTCTCGAGCCAGTACGGACAGAAGGAACGAGTAAAACAACCAAAAAGTGTTTCATTGTACATAGGTTAGGGGAATGTTGTTTTATGACTTGAAAAAATGTGAACCAATGCTGTTCAGTTAGGAGTCTGCCAGAGTGCGAACGAGAAAACGTTTCTATGCTCATGACCTTCAGGTAAAAAGCACTTCATTATAAGTGTTGTGTCCTTTTTTTGCTTGGTTTTATTCAGGTGGCGAACCTGGCTTGCTCCATCTCCAACAATGAAGAGGGTGTGAAGTTGGTTCGAATGGCTGCCACCCAAATTGACAGCCTATGTCCACAGGTGAGGACATAAACACACTCATTCCATAAAAAAGCACTCTTTACACAAGCACTCGTCAAAATATTTTTGTAATTATATACTCTTCTCAACTCGTCTGAAAGGGGTATCTAGAGTTTTTAAAAATTGGAATAGCTAGAAATGACAGGGAAAGAATTACTGCTGGCAGAATGGAAGGCAGAGCTATGACTAATGTGTAGGTGGACCTTGTAGTACAAGTTTCTCAGGATGCACGCAACGGAGGAAGTCAAAATCGATCCATTGTTTTCAAGGTTAACGGAAGGCCTTACTCGCAAGGGAACTAACGTAGTAATTGAGAAGAGAGATGGAGAAGGCAGGCTGACTTTAAGATTCAGGACCTAATGTGCAGGCCCATCTATGCACACATGCTGAGACCCACTTACTTAGAAAACTTTGTGAGGAACCGTCTCCTGATACCTCTTGGCAATGCTCAACACAGACAGATTACAAAACATAACAGACACTGACTTTGTGGCTGGGGAAGGAGGAACAAAGAGGGGGTGGAACAAAGAGAAATATTTCCATCTGTTCTGGGTAGAGTTAACCCCAGTCCTTTATCTTTACACAAGCAAACAGACACACAGGCACTCACACACACACACACACAGGTCATGTCCAGATTATAGCGCCTGGTTTCCTACATCAGATTTTTGTTTTTTTAAAGCTATATCAAAAAGCAAGAAGAGATAAAGAACAGGGAGGGAAAAAACATGATACTTCTTGTTAAAGTACACATGCCAGCTGTCATAGTGATGTGATTAATACTGCCTCTCGTAAAATGTTATGTGAAGAGTCTCAGCAGAATGTTGCTAATCTAAAAAAATTAAAAGATTATGAGGAGGTAAATTGCCTTTTTTATTTTATCACTTTAAAATCCTATGACATGTTGTCTATCTTACATAGATCAGATTCCTGAAACCAAGATACTTTTTGGAAAAGATGCCAGCTCTCTTCAAGTTTTAATACATCCATGGGTTTTCTGGAAAGCACACATTTGTGTTTTTTCTCATGAAAAGACCAAAACCAGCAATTAATTCCTACAAAAAACACTGTCTCTTTTGCCAAATCCTGATATAACTCATTCAATTGTGTCACATACTTTCCTCTTAAGGAAAATCTATCAATTTCTTCATTAGGATGAACATGGACAATGTCGTTTTTTGAGTCATTCATCTTGGAATGACACAGCCGTGCTCGTGTAAATACTCACTAGATCCCCAAAGTTAAAGCTGAAAATACAACCCAAAATATGTGCTTTTACTCCTATTTGATGAACCATGATTTTAAAAAGTGCTGAGCTAAGTTTTGAAATGATCTAGCTTTTTTTTTTTCTTTTTTAAACGAGCCATGTATTTGTGATCTTGTTTAAAGATTAACATCTTCAGGAGGATAGAATGGGGTTGAGAACCACAGACAGGGTAGGATAGCCAGATAATTTATAGAGACTGCCTAATGCATGATTACCATTTGTTTTGATATTTTCATGGAAATTTGTTGACAATATTCAGAACCGGATGTATTGGCCAGTTAGGAGTACACATACCAGTTTTTTGTTTGCTCTCAATGTACATGCACATAAACAGAAATATAGGTAAAAGCAAGGACAACAAAGCTGAACAAGAGTAAACAAAGATTTAATTAAGTATGTACATACCAGTAGGTGAAATAATATATATAAAAGTTATATTTATACAATCCAATAAGAAACAACAACATACAATGTCTAGAAGTTAGGCCATTTCTGTAAATTTTAAACAATAATACAGTTTCTGAAAGAAAAGAAAGAAAGACAGCCTTATCCTTTAACATAATACAATATGTGTTGTTCTTTACGTACCTTGTGTAAAAATGTTGGCCCCTCTTCCATGGCAGGTTATCAACGCTGCTCTCACTCTGGCTGCCCGTCCCCAAAGCAAGGTGGCCCAGGACAACATGGACGTTTTCAAGGATCAGTGGGAGAAGCAGGTGCGCATCCTAACCGAGGCCGTGGATGACATCACCTCTGTGGATGACTTCCTTTCTGTGTCAGGTATGACGCAATACAGCACACATTCTTAAATGATTGGCTAATTAAAGAAAGCAATTCCTAATTCCCATTCACTCACACAATTTTATTTAGTGACTGGTAGCTTCAAACATGAGAAGAAATCACAAAATTAAAATGTAAATCACAGAAAACTTAGAGAGCAAAACAACCTGAAAACAAACAGAACATTGTTTTGCTTTTGTTCTTTGTTTGATTTTGTCTGTTTGCATTTCATTTTATATATTTGGCCCAACATCTCCCATTCACTTGTCATTTTCTTGGGATGTAATAAATGTAGCTCTTGACATGTATACCAACATATAACATTGTAAATGTTAATCTATATGGAGTTTGTCTTCTCACTACTTCACATTCAATAAATTCATGAGGTACACTTTTGGTTGGTGGTAAATTAATTTGCCAGAAGCCTTTAAAGAGAAGGTTAGATGAAATTAATTGTAATTGTTCAGAATTATATATCTCTCTGTATCAACCATGTACAATATTAATCATCAGCACTCAATATGTTAAAGGAACAGTGTATGAGCTATAGTGGCCTCTAATGGTGAGGTTGCAAATGGCAAGCAACAACATGACCCTTTGTTGACCCCTCCCTCCCTTTCAAAGAACTACAGTGGCCCTCAAGTAGGGACAGGTATCTTTAGTATTTTATTACACAAGCACCTACTTTTATCAGTACTCGGTTCTTTTTTATGACGAAATGATTGCTTTTAAATTCAGAACAGGATTAGAAGTTATTTATAATTTAGATATATCTAAATATTGTTTATAGAGCAGCAACAGTTTTGTTTCTAACAGCAAAGTCAGTATACAAAGTCATTAGTATATGACTCGAAACAAATCTAAATTGTTAATAAAATAAATAACATTCCTGAGTAAAGTTTATAATTGATAATAATCAATAATGAAGAACACAGACATTATCAGTCATCCCTCCTGTCCTCTGTCATCCTGGCTGCTTTGTCTCAGCTAGCAGAGAAATGTATAAGAACAAACTAAGAAACTATACAGACACACAATTCTGTTTTAGCTTGTTTGTAAAAAAAAAAAAAAAAGAATAATAATGATGTTGGCCAATCTTGCGTGCTGAGCTTGTGTAAACATAGCAGCGGTGGATGACAGTGGCTGAATTAGGTTTCACTTTCGGTTCCAAGTTGTTGCTTGTTGAACAAATGTATTGAGAAAGTATTGGCTTTTTACTTGCGAATGTTTATTGCAGGAACAGTAACGAGCACAGTTGCTGTCAACTCGAGTAATCTTCACTTCACCTGCTTCACTTCACCACCACCTCTCTGCTCGCTGACGCATCGTGTGTGTGTGCGTGTAGTTGGAGGTGCTCAGCCCGACAGAGAGAGCAATGGAAATGCTGGCTTCTGTGTGATAATAAATTACAACAAAACATTAAAAAGTACCAAGAAAAAGCACCAGTAACGTCAGAGTTTATCAATAATCCGATCTTTTAATAGTTTAACACAGAGTTTAGGTACCCATCCCTACCGTATAATGTCAAAACCTGAATGGGCTAGAGCTAGTGCTTGTTCGTGTTTGTCCGTTCTGGGCTGCTGTAGAAACATGTAGTAGGTGCAAGTTAGTGGACTCCGTGGAAGAGGACCCACTCCCTAAGTAGAGATGAATGGCTTTTCTAAGCTAAATACAATATAAAGATTCTTAGTTTCAGGTCATTGTACATGAATGAAAACAGTTCTGCATATTCTAATCCATTTCTGCCAATTAATCCCCCTAAATGTTATACACTGCTGCTCTAAACATGACTGGCCATATACAAAGAAAGAAATGAAGAATCCAAACATAAAAGAAAGCCATTGGTCCCCGCCAATTCCATTCACTGTCGTTCTTGTTTGCTTTTCCAAGAGAACCACATCCTTGAGGATGTCAACAAATGCGTAATTGCTCTGCAAGAGGGAGACGTGGACACTCTTGACCGAACTGCTGGAGCTATCCGGGGCCGAGCTGCTCGCGTGGTCCACATCATTAACGCTGAGATGGAGAACTACGAACCCGGGGTCTACACCGAGCGTGTGCTGGAGTCCATCAAGCTCCTGTCTGAGACTGGTTAGTGCGCTGTACACAAAGCTGGGGTGGCACAAGAAGTCACAGTTTAATGTATTACAGTGTATTGTAAAGATTAATTCAGTATCCTTCACCTTTGTACTGTACTGCTACAACCCTTTTGGCAATTAAGCTACTTTCATGAGGAGTAGTGCAACACACACACACACACACACACGCGCTAGCACTTATTTAGCTTCCCACTCTGTTTAGTGACTTACAAACACAGTAATTGCCTGTATGCCCAGTGTCCCACAGTTTGGATCAGTGTCTTGGCTCTAACACCAACCTTGGACACCACCTGTTCACTCCTCAGCCCACAATCCATTTTTTTTATATGTTTCTCTTTCTCTGTGTGGCTTCTGTGTCACAGCACATTCCAGGTGACCTGAGTTTATCCCTGTGGCAGGTCAGACTGAGAGACAACACATGTCTCAGTCCCACCGAAAGAGAAGTTTGGACCCAAATTTGACTGAATTACTTTTCACAGTGTATGAGGTGTGAGGATTCAGTGGGGAGGAAAGAGTGCATTTTTAGAGTTGTGTTTAGTACTGTGAAATCTACTTAGTATATACTGGCATCTGAATATATAGACATATACTGTATATCTATATATATAGCTGGGGAGTTTTACGGATTCAAGTATAAGGCATTGTAGGCCACAGGAGTGCAGGGCCCACCAAAGGGATGTGCTATTATTGAGTGGAAGAAAAGTAATTCATGCGTCATTATCCTTTCAGAATATTAAGTTGTAGGCCACATTAAAAGACTCTGGTCTCTTTCCTGAACGGTTGTAGGTCCAGTTCTGGATACAAAAGCGTTGGGTCAAGACCCGAACCGCGGTCCACCTATTAGTGACCCCCTGACCTAAAGAATAAACTCAAAACATTTCTTAAATCTCAAAGATACACATAAAGCATTTTGGTGAGTAACACTGAATGTAAACATAATTAACTTGTCGTTGTTCAGATTGAAAATTCAAGGGACATAAGGTCTATTACATATGAAAACATAAAAGCAAGTCCGGTACTGTTGTGTTGCTACACAAAGCCAAAATTTGTCACACACTGCCAGAGTGAGTAACAATATTCAGGGTTGTAAAGCTTCCATCGCTGGCATTTAATACGTGGGAGAAGGGGAGAGCTTTTTTCAATGTTGGAGTGGGACGCTGTCGCTATTCCCTGTAAGTAGCACACACCAGTGCAGATCGGATACATAACAAAAAAAGTTTCAGTAAAAAAGATTCATTCTGGTTTATGTTGCTGACTTTTTCTGCAACACAAAAGCGGTTCAGCGAATAAGAAGTCAGTGTTTCTTGTCATGAATTCATTTTCTTTGAAGTAGTATGTTAGAAAAGAAGAAAGGGTCCGGTGTCTTTATTTATAGTAACATTTTTGCTCCATGAAATAGCTCCTCAAATCTCTCAAAAGTAGGTGCTTACATGCCTTTAAAAAATTCACCATTGTGAAAAGTGGACAAACAAAAAACACAGGATGAAAGGAAGGAAGTAATTTAGAAATTACCTATCCACAAGAATGAAACCACAATCCCTCTTTTACAAAAGCCCCCCTCTTCATTCTCACCCATCCATCCCTCCCCCGGTTTCTATCTTCATCATTAGAGCCAATTTAGCGAGGTGCTATATCTATTGTTTGCTCGTTACTTTCATCTGCCAGGATAATTGAGGGACACAGTCCCCCCACTCCCTTTGTTAGCTGATAAGTCGCAAACAGCATCAAGTGAATCACGTGTGTCACGTGTCAGCCAGTCTGCTGGTGCTCAACTCCACCATAATGGACTGCACACAGTGCTAGTTATTCTTTAATCTTTATTTGGATCCCCATTAGCCTCCACAGAGAGGTCTCCAGTCTGGTTATATGGTGTCTTAAGCACATTCTGTTCCATTATTGCATAATTTAGTTTAATTGATTGGGGTAATTAATTGATGAAGTATAGTGGTAATATCTCTTGGACACTTAAGGTCAATTTCATACGACCATAACCCTGTCACACACACAGACTTTATAATTGTGCTGCTGTACTATTAAACCTCCATGGAGAATGGAGCTTGTGTCTAGTCAGCAGGACCCCAGAAGCGTTATGTCGGTATTACTGACAACAATGAATGAAGAACTGTTGATGTTGTGGCATCATAGCGATTGCCCGCTGTTTTTTCTTAATCATTATAATGTAAATCTAATGGACGAAATGAGAGGCGTATTAATGCTTTACACAAAAGAGAGATGGGGAAAAAAGGTTAATTAATTAGAACCAGCATTTCTATTTTATGAGACTCTGTTCTTTTAGTTCACTACATTTCAGAAATTCTGAGCTTTTTTCCTACTTGTGATGGTTTTTAAAGAATAAGGTTTTACATGAAAACAATTCCCTTCAGAATTATAAAATGTATTATTGAGCTGTGTGTGGATTAGTTCAACCACCTACACACGATGATGTACTCCTTACAGTTTAGACTGAAAACTGTAAGAACTGCACTGTTGGCTACATTTACACATTTAGTACAAAACATATTTATTGTTCTAATTTCTAATTGAGGACAGTATGACTACATTTTCCCTGAGATAATAATAATAATGCATAGTGCCACTGATGCAAAAAAAACCTGAAACCAGCACTACAGCTATAGACTTGCAGTTTCAGTCCAATCTTTACTACCTTGTCGACAAGAAAAGTGCTTGTTGCAACTGTTTGGACTTGCAGATGTATACTGTCTATAGGAAAGTGATAGCAAATATACTCCTTGAGCCACCTGCAGACAACGAGTGTTACAGCTACAGTATTTTTCTTTGTAATAGTGTCTGTTTGGATGGGTGTATTTGATGTTAAATGTTTAAAGTTGAAACCTGCTAAATGCAATACTTTTGTTAACTGGAGCAGCCTTTCACCTAATACTGGGAGTTTGTGATTAAGTTACAAGCCAGTTGTGTGCTCAAATAAAAGTTGCTGCTCCATTCTACGGGACTTCAGTTGGACTGTAGCCCAAAGCAGGAAACCTAGCATAAAATTGACATGACGATGTATACATGAACAAGCATCGGATTTTATGATGGTGTCCTGTCTGATTTACACCTTAAGGTAAGGGCTGAGATGATAGTCCATACCGATGCATGAAATAGGCAAGTCTCACTGGCTGCATGGCCTTAGGGAGGACTCCTGTCTTACATAAACTTTAACGAGGCCTTGTGTGCTTTCGATTGTGGGTGCTAATTGAGATGTTAAGGCAGGTTACGGGCAACTGTGTTAGACCAGCGTTTCATCGGCTCCATATTTCTCTTTGATGAAGGGCTGTTGTGTTTTCTCTTCCTATTTCCCTCTTAGTGGTGGTAGTCGGGGGTTTTTAGGGGCTACCATCCACATCTGATCTGGACCATAAAGCACTTATTGATCCTTGTGAACTTTTGCCTCCCTCTCCCCTCAGTCCTCCCAGACCTGATGTCTATGGATTTGAACACAGTCAAGGAGAAATCTATAGCTGGGGGAAAGATGATTAAGTGTTGCTGAACAAAGAAAAAGGATATAGGACCACACACTTTTTAGAGGGTACTGAGTCCAATTAACTAGACTCTACCAAAAAATCAATAGCTGTCAACACGGATTTCACTAAGCGATCTGAGCAGGGATTTTAGTGGAATTCATTGATGTGGTCCCCTTTTTCCCTGTTCTCAGTGGTGTGCATGTGTAGAACATTTATCCTGTGCCTGGGTGTGTGTGTGTGTGTGTGTGTGTGTGTGTTTGTCGATGTTTGAGTAGGTTGTTTGTGTTTTTATTTGATTGCCCCTGTGTTTATGTCCGCGGCAACTTGGCCAATCGCAGCCTTGCCTGTCTTTCTGACAGCTGCCACATCAAAACGGACGCTTATCACAACTACCTGCCCTTTGACCTTGTCTCAGTTTGCCCATCCCTCGTTCTCATATTGAGTGTGCTCAAATTTATGACTGGGCCAAATACAGCCAGCCAAGGCACACAACTCTTAGCTGTAAAGCTGAGCCATAGATTCCTGACAGACAGTCCACACATGGGCCCGGGATTGAAGTGTCCTTGAGAGGGAGAAAAATCAATAGCCTAATGGGAAAGTGGTTATGGCTTCTCTCTCTTTTCTCCTCTCCCTCCTTCTTCCCTGAGACACTTTTCTGCCCACTAACTCCCTGTGTTTAAACTAATCTTCTCCTCAAAAAAGGGACAAATTTTCAAGTCGATCATTAATGTGGTGCCTGGAGAGGGTAGATTAAAAAAACTGATATATGGCCTTAGTCAGTGTGCCTTTTAGAGAAGCAGGGTGGCGTTCCTCCTTGCCATTACACCAAGGCACAGTAAATAGGATTTAGACAGGGTTTTGCAGCAAGTAATAACACACATGCACACACTGCCACCCACATGTTATAGCTGTAAATCAGTGGATCAAGTGCACTGAAAGGAAGTGCAGCAGAGACTTAAGGGAGAGAAGTAAAGACACTTCACACTGTCTACTTTGAAAATAATAGCTCTGAGAACCAGACTGTGTGGCTGGCCCAACTAAAAGTAACTCACCATAAATATAGAGCATTTATTGTAAAATCTTTAATCACAATACCTTGTTTGTGACATCAATGAATCAGTTGTACTTAAGGGGACTGACTGGGTGACACACCCTTTAAATTGTTATCTGTTGTTACAATGATGGGAGAATAGGTTTTAGCCAGAATAAGAAACAGATGGCAAACTCCCGAGTAGAGGAGGTAAGGCTTAATCTGTGTGTAAATAGAGCTGGGAGTTACAGTGGAAGAGAGTGCTGATGAGAAAATTGCTATGAAAGGAGCAGTGCAGTATGATGAGGTAGGTGAATCACTTCAACGAAGGTTGGAATGTAGATCAGCAGAGCTGTAAGCAGAGTATAAGCAGGAGCTATAAAGGCTCTTAATCTCGTAACTTTCAATGTTCTCTCAGATTTCTTCTCGAGTTGCTTTAAAGTTTGATGTAACATTTTATCACACACACATACAGTATATATATCAGTATTACATAAATATTTTGCTATTAATTTGTGTAACATTGAAATGAAAGACATTTTTCAGACTACATGTGATACCTAATGTAACATTTTATTTATGCATAGTTTGAAGATAAGACTTTATTGATCCCAGAGGGAGACTTTCTATATTGCAATACCTTGGAACATATAAGTGAACGACTATTTGTGCAAAAGAAATGCTCTACAGCCATGATGCATCTACTATTATTTCCTTTGGCGTTTTTGTTTCTGTCCACCTGATGAATTTTACTCTAAAAGTTGGGTTTGTACAACAGAAACAATGGGCTGTCGACACCATAGTCTGTACTAGTCATGTGATCCTTTACAATCGATCCAGTACAAACACTGTACTATTAGAAGCATGTTATAGAAACGGATATAAAAATACCATAATAGAGCATATAGTATAACATAAACCTAAAGACGTGGAAGTAGTTTTGTTTTGAAGCCTTGAGTTTGTTATATTGATCGTTGCCATCTTGTTTTTTTTGGCAAGAGAAGGTGTCGCTAGGTACAGCCTAACGTTGAACAAGTCATTTTTAGGTGACCAAAATGTTATAATTAAACTTCACGAACTGAAAACTCACTGTGACCGGGTCAAAGTTGTAAGACGAAAACGCAGACAACTCCCAGACCAGACCATTTCGTGGTAGCGACCTATCAATCTTAAGGTAGCCACATCCTAAAACATACCCTGCTTTATTTTTTATTTTACTCTAAATGGAACAAAATATACAGATTTATCATCATTCTTTATTGAAGAAGACTTGAAACTATAGCGACTGATTTTATTTGACTAGAGGAGTCGCCCCCTGCTGGCTAGTTTAAGGCGCTTCCACAGATCCGAAGGTGCATACAAATGTGAGAATAAGAATACAGTACTAATGGAGAATATTCATCATTATTATAAAGTGATATAAGAAATATACTTTGTAATATGCAATGTCTTCTTGGATCACTTTAATTCTGTATCATTTTAGTAAAATCAATATGTCATAGGAGTTCAAACTGTATCCCCCAAGAACAACACAAATCTAAAATCAAAATAGGCTTAAAGTTGTACGTAATGATTTAGTGCAGGTTTTGTGTGAATCATTGCTTTTGATTGTTGCCTAAATTGAGCAGTCTTCCTGCTAAATTGAGATCTGAGCGTCAACAACTGTGCAGTTTGTGGTGTTTGGAGCTCGTTAAACACCGCAGTGGGGCACGCCATATCGGCTGTGAGGTTTTTAAGCATCCATTGTATATCCAGAACTTCTCACTTTAAATATGCTTAAAGCCTAGGGGGTGAAAAGAATCCATTCCTACATGGTCACATTTAATTCCCTTCATCATTTTTCAACTGGAATGAGTGAAATTGCTCCTTACCATCAGCAACTTTGCTCATTAAGAGCTTGGAGATCATTTAAATATTTCTATTTAAAACGCCTTCCCAGCAATTCCCAAAAGCCTATTTTACGCTTCTGCAGTAAGTGGATTAAACTGAATTAAAAATGAAAAGGAAAAGAGTCTTTTTTGTAGTGCCTTTTATGTTTGCTGAAATATAGCTTGAGTTTTATATCACATAAAATAAGTATACTGCAGATACACCTTTAGTGCAAACTGGCTAATTGATTAAGTTCACTCTGTAAGAGAGGAAGAAAGTGTTGAAAATGATAATAAAGTCACACAGTTGGCTTGCTGCCGTACTTTGTCTTTTGCTCTGTTTTTCTTATTCCAATCCGTCTGTCCTCATTAGACCTGTCTTCTCCTCTCAAAAGAGGGCTGTCTTAAATCACTTCTACTATCAGTATCTACTCTTCAGAAATCCACTCCTTATGTAAACATATTTATTGCAGACTATTTCCAATTCAGTCGTTTTTCTAACGTATCCAAAAAGCAGTCATTTACTTTAAAAAAATGAATATTTAGCATTGTTTCATCGACAATATCTTTACAATTGTGGACTAGAAGCAAAGGCACAAGTGAAAGTGGGGTTAAATGCATTCATGGTGTAGCCACCATAATACAGCATATGAAGACAGACAGACCTTTCCTGGCTGACAACTCTCTGTCCAGGTAAACCTTGGCTTTTGTTATGATGATTTGCGACAGCACAGCGTTCTAAAAAAAACTCATTATTAAACTCTGCATTCAATTATTGTGACTCAAGAGGAGATTACGTCGAAAGGTAGCCTGCTAAATATTCAAACATTCAGTCCGTATTCGTGAATATTTAATAATGTATATTCACATTCAGCACAATTCATTTGAAAACACAAAGAGCAGAAAGCTCTTCCATCGGGTCTGGCCAATTGATACTGACAACAAAACCAACCATTTTTATGGTCAATCGAGACTTTTCTTTTGTTGCTTGGCTTTTGTTTGGCTCAAAAGAATGATGAATTTGTTTCCATTTATTGTGATTTGACAGGCCGAGCTTGCAAGTTAGCGTCCTTGTATGTCTTCTCACAGGTTACACACATGCACACAAACACACACACACACACACACGTACAGACACCTCCACATGCCAAATGCCAGCGTACACACAAACAGATCTGTGACAGACGGGCCAATCTTCCTGTTGTGTAAGCCGAGGTGAAATAGTTATTAATTGACATGCAATGTGCAAACAGCATATTGGCGCATACACAGAGGTTTAGGGGGACAATCTCACTTTCTGAAGTGCACAAATGATCAGAGTCTGACACAGGATGTAATCCTGCTATTTGATATGAGAAGGTTCTGATCATGGCCTCAACTAGAAAACCTACGCAAGAATATTCATGCCTTCACCATGCCATTTTAACGTTTTCTAATTGATAGACTTGCAGCTATTCTGAAAGATTACTAACACGTGATACACCTGACTCTCATATCTTTCTTTTGTTCTCCTATCTACCTCCCTTACCTATTTCTCCCTGCAGTCATGCCCCGTTTTGCTGAACAAGTGGAGGTTGCTATCGAAGCACTGAGTACGAACCCTCCACAGGCCTTTGAGGAGAATGAGTTCATTGATGCGTCCCGTTTGGTCTACGACGGCGTCCGTGACATCAGGAAAGCTGTCCTCATGATAAGGGTATGTTCCTTACCTTCTCAAAGAGCAAAACACTCACTGAAATGGTTTAAATGCTCTGCAAGCGTTAGACAGAAATGCATGTTTGGAAATGCTGACCAAGTAATTTATTTCTGCCTTCCTCAATATTTTGAAAACATTTGATTAGGTATTTTGTGAATTTACCTAGTGTTGCTGAATAGTCAGGCAGTTTAAATGTATAATCTACTTTGCAATCTACAATCACTTCAGTCCATATATTATAGCCTTTTTTACCATATAGTTGATCATTTCCTGACTCACAAGACAAAGTTGTCACACTCACCGACACCTTTCCAGTATTTGCCTCTTTACTCTAATTCTAGCTACACACATGCGGTACATTATTGGTTTAGAGCAAACTGTGCTACTGACTAAAACATATCTACAATAAGGATGAAGAGAAACATAATTGAGATCTAACATGCAATTGAATTCCCATTTGAGATGTCGCCTGTCACATGATCTGTTTTAGTAGGCAGAATATTTACAGCATGTCATTATAAAAATGCTGCATAACATGACACCAGCAGCTCTACTGTCTCACATACTCTGATGTTACAGTATTTGCATTTTTCACCCGAACTGGCCCTTCTCTCTTCACCGTGTAATTCATTTATTCAACTTTATGCAGGCTGGAAGGTTTCCCAGTGCAGCTCTGGAAAAAATCTAATTATGGAAAATAATTTGATGTTGGTAAATAATGTAAAACAGGCAGCTTTGAACTGCCCGGGACCAGCTGGCTTCATAATCCCATCCAAGTTCAATTACTTTCAGAGGAAACAACTTGGAAGATCCTTGCTTTCGCTGTTGTCTAACTCCATCATATAGATAGCAAATGTTGGTGCCACGTGTAATAGTTCTGTTTGCACACATTTTTAAGCGTCTGTGTTATTTTTCTCCCACTAAAGCCGAGTAATGGCTCCTTTAGAATTTTTACTGCACAGATCTTATGAGGAGTCGACGGATTAGGAAACCAATTCTCCACAGTGTTTAAAAATTGAGGCAGGTCTTGAGAAGAGAGTAAAGTTATAATAAAAGTTCTCAAAAACATAGTTTGGTACTAGCCTTTATGTACCCACATACACACACACACACACACACACACACACACATACACAGCGGAATAGTGTGATGGAGTAGCAAGTACTGGATACAATGGAACATGTATGAAATTGAACAGTGGATTGGAGACTGGAAACTGTAATTATATCAAGTGTTTACACTCTGTCCTTTAACCAACAAACTGACCTACAGCCTGTCTCAAGCAGGAGCTTCAACTTTTACTGGAAGTTCAGAGCTCAAGCAGCACTGCGTTACAGAAATGCAAGATGCTAAATTGAAGGGGATATGATGTTTCAGGTCCCAGTGAGACGATGAAAAACAATGTGAGAAAGCTGGAATTAATAATACATGCTTGGGTTTAAAGTCTTATCCGATGCCGTAACATTGTGTTTTAAGATACTATGAGACAAGTTTTTAAAACTCTGAAATATTATAGCAATAACAACAATTGCAATCTACTGGGTCACTTTTTTTGTCGAAAAACATCGTGAGGTTTTTTGCCCGAGTGCTCTGTGTCTGCACCTGTACTGTGCCAACCCAGTGGCCTCAATGAACAGTCTCACACAGCTGGTTAACATCTGGTTTTATTGCCCTGGATTTTGGAATCCAGCTACAGTATGAATACATTCACATGAAGAGGGGAAGGGTTGTCAAGTGCTTGAATTTGAGAATATGTTTTGATTTAGTGGGTTTGAATAGGAATACAGGCACATAACTAGCAATGCCAAAAGAAGTGATCATTCAAATAAACAAATAAAGCAAACTAAATACTAAAGTCTATTTAATAGAACATACCGGTGGAATTTGGTGTTCTTTCTACCAATGACTAATTAAGCTTAATTCATCACAATTAGTAGCTTATGCTAGTAAACAGTAAATGTAATTAATTGTTGCCATAGTTTATGGTCTACTAGCAACCCGTTGTGTGGTAGAAGTCTTGCCTTTAAGCCAGTACGAGCACTAGTTTTGTGTAAAACATTAATTATATCTCTGATACAATCAATCATCATGGAGAGGCTACATTCTAACAAGCTGTAAATAGAATTACCCACAGTGCTCTTCACAGAATAACTGTGACAGCACTGTGAATATGGCATTTTTTAAATGTCAGCATCATGCATGGTGCCTTTACTGAACAGGTTTTGCTCTGCTCTGCAGTAGGTAAACCATCCAGCAAAGGTTGCCATAGTGAGGTAGCTCAGTTAAGAGTGAGCCAGCATCATGATATCAACAAGCCTGTGTTGAAGTTAGCTGGCTAACCCACTAATCATAATTAGTGACACATCAGAAATGTATATTCATTCTTATTTTTCCACATATTACTCATGCTCCAAATGCTTTTTCCAATTACTTGTTGAAGGAAAGCTATATATTTTGTTTATTACATGATGCATGATTCTGCTTTTTTTTCTTTTGAAATAAAAAATAACAATAAATCAAAGGACTGTAATTACCTTAAAATAATAGCATAAAGCAATTGCAATTGCCACACAGCAATGTTTAATGATACATACAGTATTTATAGACTCCAAACAGACATTATTATAGGATTATTGTGGAGAAAAAAGTTGCGCAAAATTACAACTCCACTGAATTGTTGCATTTAAGTTGATTCCTCTTAAACAAAATGTAGCCCCACTGGGAGGTTTAATTTCTTGTTTTTGCTTTGCAGTAGTGAATCTGGAAAGCAATAAAACCAGCCTCGACAGATTCCATCCACAAAATATTGTCTCATACTTGAGTTGTATCTTGACAAACCGGTTGAAATATTCTCAAGGTTTAAAGCAATATTTTAGCAAATATTTCTGCAACTGACATTATCCAGGTGACCAAATGAATACAAGTTAAACCACTCTGCCCGCACTGTCTCTCTCCAGGGAGTTTTTTATTTTACAGTGACCCCTTTAATATATTAAAACTTGAATGTGCCTTTTGATATACTCTTATTTAACAGCAATGTCTATGTAACTACAGCTGCTGAAACAGGTTTTGTGCAAATGGGTCCAGATAATTATGTGTGAATTCACATGTTCATTATTCCGTGGTCAAACAGTGTTGCTATAATACCTCTACATTCCATCGCATTGTTTGGTTAATGATTTAAAAGGCACTAAAAACTGCCACTGGGTTTTTCTTTCCTGTAGGTCTCTTTAAACCTTCCCACCAAAGTTAATGTATAAATTGAAAAATACCTATAATTCCACATTTCTGCATTTTCAAAGAGCGTCACCCATTAGATATTTAATTTGAAAGAAGTGTTAAGTTGACGGGAGGAAGTCAGTTCTTCAGATGATGAAGATCTGACTCGTTTTATTCTGTGACATATCTGTCTGTCATATGCTGAGTTTGGTTTGAGTTAAAATAATAGATGAGGCATAGGCCAAATCCCAATGTCCCCCCTAAATCCTCAAACCCTGAACCCTCAAGGACTTACTGACGTCACCTGGTAAGTGGTCGAGTGTGAGAGACTGTGAGGGCTTGAGATGGTGTAAATAGGAATGGGACAGCACGGACTTCGCGGGGGCGCGCCTCAAAGTCCGTGAGTCCGTAAGGGGGGACATTGGGATTTGGCCATTGTATACTGACACACGGGAACATATGCTGTCTGTTACTCTGGATTCCCACACAGAGGGGCATGAAGTCAAAGTTGTTCTTTTTAACTGTCAATTCATGAGTTGTAAGATTTTTTTTCTTTTTTCCATTTTCTATCTCTCTGACTGTTTGCCCAAATTTGTCTTTGTGTTTCTCACAGACACCAGAGGAGCTGGAAGATGACTCTGACTTTGAACAGGAGGACTATGATACTCGCAGCAGGACTAGTGTCCAGACTGAAGATGACCAGCTTATTGCTGGACAGAGTGCTCGGGTGAGTGGATGTTCACCCCCCGCCCCCACTGTGCAAAAAACTTCCTGTATGTGCCTCAGTTATGCAACCTGACATGAAGAAAAACAGAAAAAGACAACATGTACTTAATTTGGGTGAAGGCTGGGCAACAAGCCCAAATTCATCATATAAGTGACTGTAGCGTTATTGCTTCAGTCGTAGGCTGAGTTTCACGTTGCGCCGCATCCCACCTCAACACCCACCCCTGTTCCCTGACCATACTGGAATTGATTCAGCCAACTAGTTCCACTTACATAGCATGGAAGTCCATTAAAATGATCCTAACAAGCAGGATTATTTTAAATAAACACCATTCGGGGGTGACAGGTGTAAAATTGCAATCAGAAACAAAGAGGTAATTACCCAATTCCCTTCAGATGCCCGACAAAGGACAAAATACAGCATAGTACTGTGCCAAGGAATTCAGTCGCAATCGCCAGGGTATGGGCTTTGTTGCACATTAGCAATTTTTCACTTGGGCCCAGCTTAAAGAACATTAAGAGGGTATCAGTGCTTGCTCCCCTTCAGCAACAACTGTTGTGATGTATTGCATGTTGAATGGATTGTGGATGGCAGGAGTGTGACTTGGCCCAACGCCTCTCCCTATGGCTCAGGCCTGTTGTATTATACTGCCTGAGTCTCTACACAGTCTGCACACACAGGGGGCTAATGCACAAAGATGGGAAAAATAAATAAAACCAAAACAACAGTTTATTGCTACTAAGTGTGTACTAGCTATAGCCCTAATTGTGATGCCTTTTAATAGTAGTTAAAACCAAAAAAATGAACTCAAAGGCTAGGGATTGACAAACAGGCATCCCTCCATCCTAGGGGCTGAATCAAAACACTGTACTTTGGAGTGAGACCATGTAACTACTGCTGAACAGCAGCCGCTGTTGCCACAAATAGCAATGATGGGATAATGACTAATGCTAAATCATAGCGTAACCATTGCAGAAGTGGAGAAGAGTTATAAAGTCAGCAAACTGACTTAGTAATATGTTTTACACAGTAATCTCCAGCCAAAGTTAGCATTAGCTAACATTAGCCACGGTAAACTAATGGTCATAACAGACCAATCAAGGCTGTAGCTGCAAAACCCCCGAGTCAAAAAAATATTTTTCATGTGTTTTTGTGTGTATAATCAAATCAAATATATCATATATAATTAAAAGTCTACATCCATGCTTCACAGTAAAGAAAATCCGTATTGATAAAATGCCATTTAGAGCCGATTGAAATTTGCAGTACTGTTTAGTGGTTAATAATTTATGTTTTGTTTCACTGATTAAACAATGCAATTGTTGACCAAAGAGACAACTCATGAAAGTTTAACATTGTCAAATCTGCAATCCAACCATGAACAAAAAGAACAAATCCATGCTTTGGGAGCACAATAGCTTCTCCGGGATGACTGTGGGGGTCCTGGGTGTGAAGTGCTTTGAGTTTGTTGTATGTACACTCCCACTAAGGCTCCCGCAGCGTAACATTGCTGAGCCATCTGAGCTTAGACGCACCAGCACAGCCACACAAGGGAGCCTCACAGCACCAAACTGTCAACTACTTTTTCCTGGCACTCAACTGTGCTTTGAGTGGGCAGCTCCTCTTGGGAACAGTTTGAAGTCGCAGCATGTCCCTTTGTCATAACTTGTTGCTGTAATACAAGTAATATAAGGTGGATTAATTAAAGGGTGAGGGGGCTGAATGTAAAGATTGTTCATGCAGCCTTGATTAGCAGGTTATGCATTCAAGCTCGCAGCAAATACATTGAAGATGATGTATTGCATAGTTTTATTAAATGTTATTACATTTGTACATTTAACACACATTATCTTGTCCAGCATACTATACATCTGGCATACAGATAAAGCCTCTCACACAGTTAATTGATATTGCTTGTTTTTCCTCTCATAGACACTGTTATGCCCTCAGAGACGAAATATTTGCACACGCAGGAGGCAAGCACATCCATAAAAGATGTGTTTGCCTTGAACCACTGGTGATCTGCCCAGTCGGACTCAGCCTGTCGTGTCAGGATAAAGCTTGCTGTCCTGGTGCTCTGTGTTTCTATTCAAACAGACAAGAGGAAGTGTAATCCATTTTCTCCATAGGAGCTGCCATGAGCACACTGAGGTTTACAGTCATGATCCCTCCAGGCCCCTCCAGTGTGCCGGTATCTCACACAGGACACAGGCATAACATCTCCCTCTCACTTTCTTGATCTCACCGTCTCCTCTCTTGCTCAGTGTAGAAAGCAATAAAATCAAGTCCAGGGCACTCTCAGGAGCCTTTGTTCCCAGTGCTTTGCCTTGTGTGGTGCTCCACTTGTCACTTCTATTAAACTAATGTGTGAAGCTAATTTATAAGCGCAAACATGCATAATGGGAAGGCAGAAAAACACACAGGGGAAAGAGGCCTGTACATAGTGTCTCTCTCTATTAGAACATGCAGACACAAACTCTCCTTTAACACATCACGGATAATGCACAGACACACATACACACACCCAACATCTTTTAACACAGTGATTGGATAACACTGTTGATAGGTCATCCATAAAATTGAACTCAGAGTGTCTGGGCAGTTTATTTCAAATGAAACAAATTAAAGTCATTTCAAGAAGCTGCGCTCGGTGAAGAAACCCGGAAAGCGCTCTAATCCCTGCAGACGTAGCCGAGTCGCAGAGTGTATTGGCACAGCACTCCCTCGGCCGGATTTGCCACTATGTTAAGCTCCCAAGGCCCGCTCTTTGTTGTTATCAGTAAAGTAGGGGAAGGGATTTAGGGATAAGTGAATTCTAGAGAGCAGGGGGGGGAGGGGGCTTCACCAAGTGCCTTCCTGCTCCCCTGACGTCCCAATTGGCTCATGTGTTTACCCCTGTGCTGCAGCTTTCTTTTGTGTTCAGAACCCCCTTCTCTCTCTCATCCTTCCCGACACTCTCTCTTTTGTCACACCATGTTCAGAGTGAATTTGAATACCAACCAAATCCCTCACTCTCTCCTCAACCTCCCTTGATCTCTAATTTTAGAAAAGGAATTTCCAAATCTAAATTGTTGAGTTTCAAGAGACTTTTTGCTCCCTTTAGCTGTTTGGGGGAGCAGTTCATCTTGGTTTAATGCAGCTCTTACGTGCAGAAGATGGAGAGAAGAGTATTTGATTGCTCTTACAGTTTGCATTCTTTGTCTTACTCATTCCAATGGCATTTAGCAAAACTATAACTATACTTCTTCTCAATGGTGTACCAACCATTTTGACACTGGGGGCATACTGCTTGGTGCAATTATAGAAATAAGTGAATAATTGATGTCTCAACAGTTGGGTGCAGGAAAGAAATGATATGCTAATGACCGCCCTCGAGTCCCGAGGTTAGAGTGACATGCTTGGTGGCACATTGCACTCATCTGTGTGGCTATTGATTAGGCAGCAATTACTGTACATCTTTGCCTCCATTATGTTTTTGCTACATTGAACATGAGCATGTAATCAGCAAGTCATAACCCAGGAGCTACTGGCTATACCCAGAACCACACACTCAGTGCACAACCACCCTGCAAATGTCTGAACTAAAATGTCTTTTGCTGTTTTCAAGTTTATATTTATAAATTATTTTATAAGAAGAAGGATTACGCGAAGAATTATGCGATCACTCACCTGTGTGCGTGGGTCCATGAATTAGTATGCACCTTTGTGTCCGTCCACAGCTAATCTCACATTCTGCTGCAGCAAACTGCATAATGTTTTGGGTGGCCAGTTATGGCTGCATGCTGAAGGACCTCTCGTGGTTGCAGTGACTCAGACTTCCTCAAAACACCTTTTGCTTCTTGTTTTACTGTATACTGCTATTGACTGCCTGCTGACTCCTCACTCACTATTCTTAACCTGCCCACCACCTTTCCAAGCCAATAGTGATAATAGTGCTTATTGAATCTTCGAACTCCAGCCGCTACTCTACGGCCAGAGCCACAGTGGGGGGGGGGGGAATACTGTAGAGTGTATGTCTACGGGGAAACAGTTTGCTCAATTTTATAGTTCATGACTATGTGTTTGGCTAACAGCTTACTGAACTACGCACACAAATGTCCGCATCACCTCCACTTAGCTGCTGCTCTGCGGCCAGAGACACAGTTTTTCCATGTTTATTGGGCATCAACCTCAAGTTTACATGCCTATTGTCAGAAATTAGACTTGAAGCCTAAATACTTGCTTCAAGTCACAGTTACGCTGGTGAGACAGAGCTGAGATGCGTGCTGGTGCAGACATCTGAAAAGACTAAAAAGTGGAAGTGAAAAACAGGCCTGATACACTTGCTGTCTAGATGGGGGGGGTTAGCCAACTGTGGGTTGAATTCATTCAATATGACATTATAGCTGTGAGAGATATGCTCTCTACTGAGTCCACCTTTCTAGTTCAAACTGATTTTAATTTAAAAACAAGTTATAGTTGAAATCAACAGCATAAATAATAATTTCAAAATAAGACAAAGTAAGTGCTCTGATATATGAGACAAACTCAATGAAGTAGAGCGACTGTCGGTTATAATGTGTTTATAAGAGCCCATTAGTGCTGATTGACCTATAGCCAAAACTGCGTACTTAATTTAAGGATCTGTCTGATTAGTAAATTAACTTATGGAGGTATGTTTGACCTGTGCATGGACAGACTTACAGTAGTTGTTTTATCACAGATTAGATAAATGGTGGTGTAGGGGCCCCAGAGCCACTGCCTACTGTGTGTGACCCATAGTTCATAGCAACACCTGAATACAAGTTTGCCCTGCTGGAATCAGCAGTTTGTTTTAAATTGTTTATTCCTCATTGTGCAGTCTAAATACATATTAACTTTGTATTTGTTTTAAATGTGAGCGGTGTTTTCACCCCACACGGGGTATAATGGGATACGCTGCCTCGCTGTTGTTTGTGTGTCTTGGCACTGGCAGCAGAGGAAATCTATGTACACTCGGCTTGAGGGGGCTGGTTTTGCTTGTTTGTTTATGCCGCTCGGATTTTATTCAAGCTAACCGCCATCAAAGCTTTGCACAACTGCGCTCATAGTGATCAGTAGGCCGAAGCTCACGTTGGCCTCTGATCAGAAAGTTGTGCCTCCACGCTTCTCAATTTCTATCTGTTATTTCATTTTTTTTCTCTTTGATTGAGGGCCCCCTCCTGTTTCAGCTTATTTTATTTTCAAAGAATATCGGAAGGACAAGTCATCTATATTTTTTTGTTTTCAATTTCCTCCTGACACGTCTAGCAGGGGACATGAGCAAAGTGACGCCCTCTCGCTGAGCTCACCCCACACCCCCACACACCAGCTTTGCTGTGAGAGAGGGAATAAGGAAGAGGTAAAAGGAGAACAAGGGTGATTATTTCATTAAGAAAATAGCAATTCAAGGAGAACAGTCAATAATAGATGAGGTTAAGAAACAATAGTGGCTTGTCCTTTTTTTTTTACTGTACTCATTTTCTCTCTCTGCCTCTCGAGTCAATAGAATCGACCTAATGGAAACCAGGTTACTCTTCCTTCCATCTCACCTCCCTGACATAATGTTTAACAAATGCATTATTCATTCTCTGGTCTAAGAAGCGAGGTAATTATACATTTATCTCCAAAATAATACCAGGTTCTCACTGAGCCTGTGACCTTGCCACAAGATTTATGCCATTTCGGACCTGCCCCCAAATGTCGCTGAGGAAAAAATTAAGGCAAAAATGGATTTGCTCTTTATGGTTATAAGATGTCAAGGGGCTTGAAAAGGTCCAGTCATTAAATGTAAAGTTTAGAAATTTATTTTGAAGCGTTGTAGAAGGGCAGGGATAGTCAGAATCCAAACTTAGTGTTCAAGTTTTGTAGGGTGGATTAAAAAGTAGACAGGACAGAAAAAATAGAACAAATGGTGCTACAGCTCTCCCCTTTATATATTTTTTCTTTATTCTCTTTCTCCTTAACTAATCCTTCTTCATTTTCGCCCCTTTCCTCATTTCCCTATCGTTCTCTCCTTCCCAACTTAATCTCCCTCCTTTACCAAATTTCTTCTCCTCTGGTATTTCCCTCATTCTGAGCAATCCCTCCAATTTATTCTGCTCAAATGTACTCCCTAACAGCCTCTTCCTCCTTTTCTAATGCTCTTGTTTCTTCCATGCTCCCCTGTTGCCTGCAGGCTATCATGGCACAGCTTCCCCAGGAGGAAAAGGCAAAGATTGCTGAGCAGGTGGAGAGCTTCAGACAGGAGAAGTGCAAGCTGGATGCAGAAGTGGCCAAGTGGGATGACAACGGCAATGACATCATTGTGCTGGCCAAGCAGATGTGTATGATCATGATGGAGATGACGGACTTCACCAGGTAAAAAAGTCAAAGTACAAAGCAGAAAATTTAAACCTGCAATGACAGATTTTTTGGTCACTTAAAGGCCATAGGAACAATCTGATCACTGATGTATTACCACATTTTAAGTTCATATTGCCAAATTATTAGCACATTGTTGCTTAAACATCTAGCCCATATACAAACACTAGAAGGACATATCTGGCTCTTTACTGTAACTGTTAAATGCTACATTATGTTCACCAGCTAGTCCCTAACTTTGTTTGGTGCTGGGTAGGTAATGCATAGAGGGTATGAGAGGTTTTTCACTGCAAGCAGCAGCCTGCTGTGTCTGAAAACAGGTTGATGAGAGTGAACCAAAACAGAAACGTTGAACCATAGAATCAAAACCATGAGCTGTAAAGTCCATTACAACTGAGGGTGAGTGTCACTATGAGTGACCCCATTGATATGAAAGTATTGGAGCAGCAAATAAAAAAAGTGAGATTCCTGAGAAACAATCTTGCCTTTGCAATGCTCAGAGCTGCAAACTGTTTTGTGAAAGGCAAAGTGACCCAGACAACCTTTGTTTTACTAAGATTACATAGCGATGCTGTGATTCAAAGATATACTGTAATAGATGATCTGTTTGAATTTACAATCTTGTCGCTTATGTTTACTAAAAGCCTGCAGCTTTCCTCTCAATCTCTCCCATCTGGGCTCAACATATCAGGGAAATGCCTAGCTGATGGTTATCTGCCTCGTGTATGGATGTGTGCACCACTCCACCATTATATGGCATGGGACAAACCAAAAAGAAAAGAAAAATCAGAGCCAGGAGTCATTAGTCATGAGTGATTATGTCTGTGGCGCTGTGACTGCACCATGATTACTTGGCATTGACCCCAGTTACTGAGATTGGCATGAACAAACTAAGTGAATATGTCAGCCTAGCACTGACTAAAAATAAGACACACACAAACACACTTATCTGGCCACAATAACTTTCCCCATGCTGGCAAATCAAGAGAAAATAAACACAGAACAAAGGCTCAGTGGTTGGCCATTATTTCCCTCTCCTGTTTTATTTCCTACCGTAACTGCTTTGAAAATTCTACTGTTTTGCTGTTAAAAACAAAGGATTTTAGTTTCTTTGTGACTCAAAGCACAGCTCTATTATACATCATTAGGGACAGTATTGTATACTGTGTACGGTATTTGTTACACCCGTTAACTGGGAAATCGTGTATTGTTGGTTGATTGTAATGTCTCATATTCCTCCTGCCAACCACAGCCGATTAGCTGCTGCTGCACGAGCTCAGGGGTGAGCTCTGTCTTTAAAGGGAAGCTCTGCATGCCTTATGCCTCCACAGCTACACCCTCATTACCTTTTTCCCTTATTTTTCATTCCTTGGATTTCCCCAGAGGCAAAGGCCCCCTGAAGAACTCCTCAGATGTGATCAACGCGGCTAAGAAGATTGCAGAGGCTGGTTCCAGGATGGACAAATTGGCCCGTGCTGTTGCAGATCAGGTAGATATGCAACTGTGTCTGCTGCTGTCATTTTTATCGTTATACTTTCTATTAGTCTGAGACTGTCTCTGCCTGTGTCATAGTAGCTTGGCGGCTGAACACATTTTGATTTGGAGTAAGTGGGCATGGCCATTGGAAATCTTTAATGTGGGCATTGACAAGCCCAGCTGGAGCAGTGGGCTGTGTTACTGCATGAATTTGTCTCCCATTGGGGCCAACACGGAGAGAGCAAGACAGCAGAACCAAGTTGTGTCTCTAATATAATTAGCTCCCCACCGAGGTGTTGCATTCATTATCAGATGAGTACTTCTCTAAAACACGCTGACAGACCATTTTCAATATCTCATCAATCAGTGCTGTGCCTAGGGAAGACAGGAGTGAAAAGAAATATGTGTGTGTGTGTGTGTGTGTGTGTGTGTGTGTGCATACAGCAAATGAAGTGGGAGGTATTTCAGAATGCAGCACTCCAGGTAATGCATAATGTTCTTCTTCATTTCGTCTGTCTCTAATAAGCAGTGAGAGCAAACTTAGGCACAAGGCTCACTGATTTATTAAGGCAGCCTGTTGTCATTGTAATTGCAACTGCTGGTAGCTAGCAAACTCTTGGAATAATGATGGGCCGGCACACATGAGCACCAACCAAGCTGCTGTACCTTCAGTTTCATGTTTCAAACCAATCACAATACTGAAAGTTATTTTGTTGTTTAAGATGTGGAGGAAATGTCTCCTTCATGTAAATGACTGTGGATACCCATACAATGTTGATTACAGGAAAGAACTCAATGAGTCATACCTCCATAAAGACTGCACAGTCCTCAAAATGTTGCTGTTTCAAACCTGCATTTATTGTTTTTTTTGGCCACCTTGGAGCAGTGCGGCAAGCTGTAAACTCGTCATTAACATAAAGAACCTTATAATATCACCTTGTACATTTGACATAGAAAATGTGTCAGCAAACTGACTTCTTTACACATCCAGCTGATACAGAGCAATGTACAGTCCAATATTCATTCTCTTTTCAGCTTTGTTTAGCCGCTAACTCCTGAGTAGAGAAAGTCGCTTCGTCTGTCTACCGTTTGGTGCTAGCCAAGTCGTGTACAATCAAGTTTTTTGTGTCTGCCTGCTGTACGTGGAAACAATAGTATTAATGGCAGCTGCTGAAATGCTCCATAAAGCTGCAGGAAACTGCAGTCAGGTTCATCATCAAACAAGTGACCCCTTTCACATGTCATGTACTTATTTGATTCATTGTTGTACAAATATTGATAACAGACACTTTAACAGAAGAATATTGAATTTCCATCTGGAATGAATCATTCAGTGTTAAAAGTTTCTGAATGTGGACATAGATCAGCTTCCAAACCAAAAGATGAACACTTGTTTATTTTAAGATTTCCTGCTAGATTTCCTAGCTCAGCAGATGCAGTGCATACTTTTCAGAATGTATCCTTGCTGCAGTGGCCCAAGCCTTCATCACTATCCTGTAAAGAGATTATTGTCACATTCATTTAGCTGGCACGATCTAATTGGCCACTGAATGTTTATTATCAAATGAACATGCAGAGGTTAGATTAAAAACACATACAGAATACCATGATAAAGAGATGGTTTTCGTCTCTTACTTTGTATTTCCTTTATCCAGAGCCAACCTTTTGACAATGTGTGACTTCGCAACAATATATGGGCAAGCCTCCTGCTGTTAGCGCAGTGCACAATGCCTGTCAGTTTGAGTGGCCGTCGAGTCTGCTGAGCTTTCAGCTGACCAGAAGGCATCTTTAGTCAAAGCTGGCACTGTATCCTCATGTCACACTGTCCTGCTCTCCAGAGCATATTGCACCATAGAATTAAGTTTCAGGCTGTGAATGCATAACTATGTCTGCCAGGCAGTAATTACCACAAACAGAGAGATGAAAAGCATGAGTTTAATCTGTATGGGCCTTGTTTATGTACATCTTTGCATGTTTCCATGTGTTTGAAGATTTGTCTTCGGAATCTGGTCTCGGTCTGCGTCACTGCTTGTGTATGTTGTTTTGAGCAGGATCTGGGGCAGAAATGACAAAATAAGCATGAACTTGCACTTTTTTTTTTCTTATGCATTAGTTTATTGGCTTGTAAGCTGCCAAGTGATAATCAGTGTTTAACAGGGTTTAGGTGGGAGTAAATCTGTCACATGGCGAATCACTGGCAGAGCCTGTGTCTGAATCAACAGTTGCTGTAATGAAAAGAGCAGGTGGCTTGCATTTTTTAATTCTCACTTAAATGGTTCCTAGACTAGTGTTTACTGAATATTCAAAGCCTTCTGTTACACTTCCGGAGACAACAGAACTGTGTTCAGGAAATAAAGAGGGGCTTGAGGACATTTTATTTTCCAACATGTATTTATTATAAAAGTGTTTTCATGTGAGGCATTTGGGGCATCTGTTTGGCATGTCATGCAGTGAATGGACTGAGTTATTACAAGTTAAAACAGCATAAGTTTGCTTTTATGAAGCATCTTATTGGAATTACACAACAAGTAACATAACCTCATTGTTTGCCTTCATTCCGTATGAAGACGACAAGCATTTTGCATTCACACATTGTGGTAGGTAACCTGTGTTTGTCATGAGCACTGTGGCTTGACAGTAAGAATAAGGGCTGCTCCACTGCCTTCAGACAGGTCCCTTAAGTAGCAAACCTTGTCGCCATGACTCCACATCAGCCCTATTGATGAACAAGTGTGAAGCAGAAGGCAATTCTGCGTGGAACCGTGGAAGGACTGCGAGCTCTTTCATAGTCATTTAAGCACAGCACTTGACGTAGATAAACCCCTAGAGGCAACTCACCCCATTTCACTCCAGCGATACCTTTTTTTCTACTCTATTTCCCCCACTCCATTTTCCTTACTCTGCTCCATTCTTTAAGTATGCTTCCTACAGAAACAAGCTAGATAGTGGAGGACAGTTGTGCGAACATTATGTGCGTCTATAGGCTTGGTTGTTGATTGTTAAGTGTTATCAGAATCGGAATCAGAAAATACTTTATTGATCCCCGAGAGGGAATTGGTACGTTACAGTCACTCTTATATATTAGCATAATGAAATACATGAAGATTAGAAATAAAGCCCGATGTAATATGTAAATCACGTACATAATATAAAACAATATATGCAGAAAAATACAGGCAAATAATAAAAACAAGAAACAAGGAATGAGCATGAGATATAAAATATGTGCAAATAATAATGAATTAAATGCAATCATTATTACACATAGGAGTAATCAGAAATTATTGGGTGAAATAAGTCCAAGGGCCAGTCTATTGACCAACCTATTGACACGCACACTGTTACCCCAGAACACTACGGCAAACTGGATAGCACTGGCCACCACTGACTCGTTGAACATCCTCAGCATTGTTGAAGGACCTCAGCCTTCTCAGAAAATAGAGACGGCTCCGGTCCTTCTTGTCGAGGGCTTCAGTGTACTTAACCCAGTCCAGTTTACTGTCAAGGTATACTCCCAAATACATATAGTCCACAATGTCCACGCTTAGCTGCTGACTCACCAATAAACAGCCATGGTATATATATATATATATATAACAGTTTGCAGCACTCTGCTTGAGACAGTCAGTGTTTGATTGAAACACCATCTGGCTTATGGTTTACCTGCGCAGCTGGTCATTGTTGATCTGTGTACATTGATGTAGTGTTTGTTAAGGCATAGTATTGTAAAGGACAGAATGTATTGTATTCCTCAAACAGGACTTAACAGGGCAGAACTTGGCAAGGTATTTTTAGACTTTCTTAATATCGTTCTCTAGCAAGTATTTACAGCAGCAGGACTTTGTATGGGGGTATTGACTCAAAATATAGAACAGTAGCAATATTTATTGTACATGTCACCCAGTGCAACTGTGTGGCTCACTGATAAAATGTAAAGTGCAATAAGTTATATGAAGCTGTGGCTACACAGACAATACTTATTTGTAGCATCAATTTGTTGTTGGTTTTGTTTTTTTGTTGACGGTAACAGAAATTATTTTGTGTCGAGCTTTATTTTCTAGCTGTGATTTTAATTTGCTTTTCATGGTTTCGTCTACTTTCCTTGACATTTAGGAATCCTTTTTTTTTTGTATTGTGTTTAAGTACTAAAATAAATATAGAAATATCAAGTTGTTGTTTCTAAATGCTGCTAAACACACATGCAAGTTTAAAGCTAAGTATTCAGACTTCCAGGTTTCACTTTATTTCTCACGGCGGAAGGCCCTGTCCCTTTGAATGCAGAACAACAAGAGCAAAACTGCTGTCGCCTTTACTGACAGCAGTGTAACCAAGTGTGACTGATGTGTAATTAAAAAGCTACTCTGTAAAAACAAAAACTACAGTTAGCAGGTGCTGGCTAGAGAGGAGTCAGAACTAACTCGATTCAAAAGTGAAAATCTTGCATCTCAAAATTGTGAGCTTTTCAGAAAATATTTTCTCTGCTTTAATCGAATATTTCTCATGATATGTCAGTGCTTCACCACCTAATGCATTTAGATGCAAACTTAATCAAGAGCAAATTCATTTTGCATGCTCTCACATCACACGCTGACTGTGTACCGATGCGTATGTTGCAACATGACAGGTTGCAGTAACAGCTTCTAATGTAACGGTAATATTGCCGATTACAGATTCAAATAAAATCATGTTTCAAAAAGAAGGGGATGTTTGATAGAGTTACATGAACGGGGGACATTAGGTCACCTTGGCTATTCTGTTAGTCACCAGTGATCTACGTTTCATTTTCTATTCCATTGTATATATGCCAGATTGTGGAATACAACAGAAAGAAAACAAATGAATTGTGTTGTCACTTAAATATAATGAGTGGTTTCAGTATGTACTAGAATATATAGTGCTCAGTCTTTGATGGAGATGCCAGAGCCTGGATGAGTAAATAGAAAGATGACCAGCTTTCTTGAAGTAACTGAAAGATGACAGCTCACCATCAGAGGGACTTTAGTTGTCCAGTCAGCTGGAAGGCATTTTGAATAACCGTGTGTAGCATGCTCTATTTGAATATGTCATTTTGTCTTTATATCATCCTTTTGCCCCTCAAAAATGTGTCTATAATACTATTAGATTTGTAATGAAACAGAAACACGTATCATGCAAAAAGGTGCCATAGTTAAACAGAAACAGCAAACAGCCGGACGTTAAAATAACCAATTTACTAATTTTTACGCTGGAAAGGTCAGTCTCAGCCTGGTTATGAATGCAGCATCAGTGTGAGGTGTGACTTGTGTTTTGACAGACTGCCACACTCTGATAGTGAGTTGCCCTCATTTTAGCACCAGAGTTCAAATCATCTTGCTGAATTATCCATCAGGAGCACGTTTCATTCATCTTGGGCCCAATTATGCGGAAAAACAAAACAAAAAGAAATTCCCAGCAGTTTCTCGTCTGGACTGAACAAAAGTATTCCTGAAATGCTGAGAGGAGAGCTGACTGAGGGAAGAGGGAGTTTCAGACTGGAGGCTGAGTAAAGTCACGCAGTGAAACACACTAGTCTGTAATGAATGCTGTTTCACTATGAAGGACAGAGAGCTTCAAAGTGGCAAAGTTATTGGCCATAAACTGTATTTACTTCAACAGGGAATCTGTGGAAGAAATGTACTATTAGTCAACTGTACAATACGGAATAATTGTCTCATGTCTGCATCAGACTTGCTTGGGAAAGCAGCGTTTGTGTGTGTGTATACATGCCAGCAGTGTGAAGTGCAGTTAGCAGTGATGCTAGCCAGGACTGGCAGTGCAGTGATAATGCCAAGGGAGAAGCTTCCCCCTGCCTCACTTGCTGCTCTATGAGCTAGTTTATCTTCCTCAGTCTGCACTCAGTGCCACTGACTGAGAGGAGGCTGGATGCTGGTGGCAGTTTTGCTCTTATTTACTGTATTGTTCAAAGTCCTGCTCTGTTAATGCTCATAACTGTGGAAGATAAATCATGCCTTGAATTGTTCTTTGCAATTGTTTTTTGTAGGTTGAAGAAACAAACCAATCCATTTTAAAAGACTGTTTTTTACTCACTATTTGTGACCATCAGTGAAGGGCACTTGTGCCCAATCAATACTATTTGTCTTAGCACGAGAGGACTTTTGTCATAACATAAAGAAGCTGGGCGGCCATGAAAGCTGTCCTGGAGGGGGTACCCTGATATCGCTTCTCGCTGTTTAACTTGCCGTCGCCCTCTACTTGAGCCCACAAGACAAGGAAATGAGCTGTGCATTTCCCCGCACAGTGCTGCTGAATGTCCTAGTTAGGAACGTTTAATATTAATGGCTAGAAGGAAGGTGTTGCTACAAAATGATGCTCACAGTGTTTAAGCAGCTGATGCAGTGTTGTTAACCCACTGGGAGCTTAGTGGGCCATAGCTGACTCCTGGAAGGCTTCCAGATGGAATAATAGGGGCAAACTGTGTGATAGTCGGAGCCTTTAGGAGGCTGTCCTCGTACTCCCTGTTGGTCCATTTGCTGCACTGTATGATTGGTCTATTCGCTGTTGAAGTGGCAAAAAGGCAAGCAGGTCCAGGTCAAGACTTTTAAAAAATTGGGAAGAGAAGAAGAAGAGGGATACATAGAAAACTATGCTGAAAGTATTATGTCCACTCATTGCTGATTGATCTGTTTACTTCTTGGGCAACATGCTGTGAGAAACTTGTTTCATGTGAAATTAATTTGAAATGAGTTTGACACCCTGCAGTGTAACTCGATTTGCCTTTGAAACTCACGCTTGCAACAAACGACAATTGAAAAAAACAAATGTTGAACAACATTTCGCAGGCCTAGTGAAGAGAAATGTAATTAGCGACACTGGAACCGTACTGTTTTTGTCAGGGCTGTTGTTCCTGGTTCTCTACTTTAAAACGGCTGCAACATCAGAGAGAATGATTCCCAAAACAATCCAATTGGGTAGCGAATTCACATCTCAAACATATTTGGAAAACATACACCATTTAAAACCAGATGGCAGATCTGTAGTAAGCATCTTTAGTTTTTTGCCAATTTGCCTGAAATAAGGCCAAGAACCTTTATTTCTCCAAATTCTTTGGCCCAGTGACAAATCTGTTGCTTTGATGGCTATGTTGTCTGACATGATATAATTATATATCCTTTCTGTCAGCTAGCCAACCATTGGCTCCTTCATCCTCACAGATGATCTAGTTTTAACTAAAACAAAACACGGACCTCCTGGATTAATTGAAAATCCAAACTGTTTGGCCGTGGTGCTCGAAATGAGAAACATTTTACCAAAGATGTACAAACATCATTATGCTTGCTGTGTGGCTCAGCAGAAAAAATGTATGACATGTTTGTTGTCAACTCGTCCTTGATGGATTATGAATTCTGATTTACATTTTGAATTCATTGCTTTCATATATTTGACCCAATGACGATCTATATTTTCGCTATTACAGTCCTCTTTGGCTGTTTCAAAAAAATCACTTCACTTACCCTCTGCTATAATGTTTGATTGTGTTTGGGTGAATTCTGAATGTGAAAGTTCTGCTGATGATGCCCTTAATTTAAATTTACTGCTGCGTGTAGAGTGAATTATTAACTGTCTGCTACATAGTGGAAGAGTAAACAAGGGAGTGATTTTGGACACAGCCCGTGTCAGTACGAGAAGAGATATTGTATTGCAAAGGGGACCTTTGTGGCATAATCCCTTAATGTTATCCACATGTTATAATGATTATATGACCATCGGTGTGTCAAAGGATGTTAAGATGTGCTCCAAACTACCATCACTAGGCAAATCATTAAACAGCAGATATTGCACAGTAGCCTCAATCACCCACATTGCACATTAATAATAATCATATTTATGCGACCTGATTTATCTTTGTATGACAGAATTGGAATATTGCCAAGCACAAAATGGCCGTTAGAAAAGATACTAAATGTCAAATGTACAAATATCCGCCAAGGCCTTAAAAGTGTGCCACACCACTTTCAGCTGCTCTGTAAAAAAACAGTGCTTATTTATGGCTGTTATTCACCTGTGTTTTGACAATGTGTTTCCTTGTGCCTCTTTTCCATTCAGTGCCCTGATTCAGCGTGCAAACAGGATCTGCTGGCGTACCTGCAGAGAATCGCCCTGTATTGTCATCAGCTCAACATTTGCAGCAAGGTGAAAGCTGAGGTTCAGAATCTGGGTGGAGAGCTCATCGTGTCTGGGGTAAGTCTCTCCATAAGAACAGTACATGGCCAGCTTCACTATCGTTGATGCTCTAGATAGGCTTTCATGCTTGAATCACGAGAATTGGTTGACTTGACTTAAAACATTTTTAATGCTCTGCACTACGGGTGGGCAAACCTTTTAGTTCATGGTCATTATGAGGCTTTGGAAGACCAGATGAAGGGTCATGCAGAATAAAACTGATGCAATAATTTTAGACCGATTACCATCTTATAATACCAGAACAATGCACCACAGGCTTTTTTCCATTTGTATTTTTCATGCTTCATGAACCCTCTTATCCCTAGTCAAACTATCATCAGTCAATTATCCCATACTGCTTGCTTTTGCCATTTAACTTTCTCCATTTCAAGCTCTGTTTTAATGAAAACATATTTAGTAATATATTAGAGTTTCGACCAGAATTATCTCCTCTCAACTCTCCAGTATACTTTTGGCTACATTTAGAAATATCCATCTGAAAAGCCAATACTTGATTATCTAAAACTGATTTAATATCTTCATAAAGCTACAAAAAACTTTTTGATTGAAATTAAGGGAAAGTTATTCAGAAGTAGATGTGAGATGGTTTTAATTAAATTAATTCAGCATCATCAACATAATCATGTAGTGAACTGTTATTGGCTCATATCATTTTTTGTTGTCTTTATTGATCAATGTGCATGCAGATGTGCATGTTTTGGGACATGTAGTTCATCTTTATGTTTTCTTTTTTACTGATGTACCAGTCTCATATACCTAATCAGTGTCTGCTTAAATACTGACATTATCAAGCTGATCGTGTGTCAATTTTTATTTAATGTCTATAGCACAAAGAAATCGCAAATCACAACTTTGCCTTAGACGGCTTTTACCTCTATCCTTAGACCCTCAATTCAGATTAAGAAAAACTGCACAAAACAAACTTTTAAACAGTCAGGGAAAAAGTGAAAAACCTCAGAAAGAGCAACAGTCATGCAGTAGAGTACACTGATCCACACTGAGTCGAAGTTTTTGGATTTTCTATGAGGAGAGAAAAGGGGGCATTGGTGCATTCCTACTGTTTTTTGTCTGTGAAGAACTTCCTTTGTAACTGCCATAGTAGGATTTCTTCCTCTAATTAAAGTCAGACATGAGTTTTATCTTTGCTTTGGGCTGCCTTGTGTCTTGTGTTGATACAGTTCATGATTTCTTAGAACTCTGTTATAGTTTGTCTCACATGAGATATGCAAGCCCTGCTGAGATTTTAACCTTTTCATGGTGGCCAGCTGGAATCTACACTCATTAAATCTAAGCGGTTGACTTGTCTCAGTGTGGGGTAGAAGGAGGCCCACTGGCCCGCCGACCCTTAAGTTAAATGTCAGCCAAACAAAACAGACGGAGACAGAGGTACACCTGACCCCTGCCTCTGCTAATTAAGAACTGCTAAAATAAGATGTCACATAGCGAAGGCCATGTTTTTATCCAGCTTAATTGACAGTTGCAGCACAAACCTCCTAGATTTGGGATGTAGCCAATATGTCCTAATATTCTTTGAGTGCATGAAAGTCATTTTGAAGTCAAGTCACTTTTTCTCTTTCCAGACTTTTTTGACTCGACCTTTAGTGTTTATCTCTCTCTTCCCCTCCTACCGTCTTTGCCCCCCCTGTAGCTGGATAGTGCCACTTCCCTGATCCAATCAGCCAAGAACCTAATGAACGCAGTGGTGCTGACTGTAAAGGCATCTTATGTAGCCTCCACCAAGTACCAGAAGGTGTACGGAACAGCGGCTGTTAACTCACCCGTGGTGTCTTGGCGCATGAAGGCCCCTGAGAAGAAGCCTCTGGTAAAGAGGGAGAAGCCCGAGGAGTGCCAGACACGTGTGCGACGAGGCTCCCAGAAGAAACACATCTCCCCTGTCCAGGCCCTCAGTGAATTCAAGGCCATGGACTCGTTCTAAGCAAAAAATAATAATGCTCACCCAAGAAAAAAACATCAAAACAGCGGCGACAAGTTGAAGAGAAAGTTCCTTTATACATTGTGTTAACCCACCTCTGTGTTTCCTGTGTGTGCTTGGTGACGCCTCAGGAGGACTTCAGTACATATTAAACTGCCACACTACGGCTCCTGTGAAAACTGTGGGCCTCATGGCCGACAGGAAGACTGCACACACCCAACACTATTTATCGATCTTAATGTAGCTTAATATGTGAGAGACAAAATGTGACACAAGTACTTTTGAAAATATGGGAGTTAAAAAAAGAAACATATCAAAGGAGGAATAGTGGCAATTAAAAAAAAAAAAATGGTGGCAGTTGATATAGCTATATCTTTAACGTGCCACTGACTGGCTGCTTGTATACACATTTAAACTGCCTGAATGGAAATCCTGAATGGTTCAGTAGAGGAGTTATTCTTAAGGGAATATGTCAATGTTGGTATGCTCCCTCTAGATATTTTCTTTTCAATTTGAATGTAACCTGTAGTGCTAGGAATTATTTATGTTTAAGATACCTGGAAGTGTTGGCATCCAAGTAGTTTCCTTGTTCCTGATGATTATAATAATAATCCATACGGTGTTTTTTTCCAAAGCACACTTATGGTCTATTGTATTGCCTTTTTAAATTCAATTTATTTAATTATTACATCACTAACTATGATGACCTTGATTGGAAGTTGTGTAGCGTATAAATATAGACAGAGAGGTTTGACTAGTTGTGGTTTGCTCAGAGAATAGAAATCCCTGCATACAGTACCTTTATATATTCACCCTTCTCTAATAAATCCCTCAACTTGATCCTCATGGCTTCATGTGTCTTTCTTTACTATCACATGTGCTGCAGTAGCTACACATGCATGTGTTTGTATTACAGCAGCGATGCCTTTTATTAATTTAAAGGATCTGACATAATCATTAGAGATTGCCTTGCCAGACCCCCAGATGAAAAGATTCCAGGGGAGAAAAAAAAAATCTATGAGTACTAAAAGCTTACAAGAAAAGGCATATTGATTCAGGGTCACATGTCAAGTCCCAATAATTGGTCTTAGGTCAGCACTGTTTCTGCCATCTTTGTGATATTTGACCAGGTCCTTACACAAACAGTCTACCACGCTTGCCAAACACAAGCCATTTTGACCTACATGATACCTTTTAATCCTCTGGGGAGGGCGATATCGGCTGTCTGTTGGTCCACCACTTAGACTTAAGACTTAAATAGCTCAACAGCTATTTGATGAATTGCCATAATGTTTTTGTTCAGACATTCATGATTCTCAAAGGATTACTTCTACCTAATTTGGTTATTTTTGACTTTTTCCCTGGCACCACCAACAGGTTTCCTCTTATCCAGTGAAATATTTTAACATCAAAAGGTTTACCACACATTTTTGTACAAACATTCATGGCTCCCAGATGATATATCCTAATACCTTTGTGTATATGCACTGACTTTTCCGCTTGCACCACCATGAGGTTGACTTTTTCGTTTTAGTGTGAAATGTTTTAACAACTGTTCGATAGATTGCCATGAAATTTGGTGGACACATTCATGTTCCCCCTGGAATTAATTGTAAAAAAATGTGATTCTTTCCAGCACCATCAAACATTAGAATGTTAGCAAACTCTTTGGGGTATTATGGTATTTCTTTAAAATACAATTTCTCTGTTTTTTTTGCCATCCACCTAAGAACAGATCAAGCTGTATCTATTGCTCATGGTCTCACAGGTTACTGCTGACTCCATGTCAAGGTATACAAGCCAGTATTGACCACTGAAGTCCCTGTCAATTTCTCTTAAGCCCACTGAGTTGTTGAGGTAAAGAAAAAACAGATTGGGGAAGAGGAAAAGCAGATAGCTGGGAATCAACCGATGCCTGACACATTTCCAGTCAGCAAGACAAGAAACCCCAGAATGCTCTGTCCTCTGAATCTTAAGGTTTGAGATCTCAAAGGAAAGGAAAGTCATTGTGAACACTACAAATGTGAAGTCTGAATAGCTCGTCTGGTCTTTGGGAAAGCACCGAGACCTGGCTGCGACCTCACTTCATGCCGAGTGATTCCAGTAAATTAGTTCACTTTTAGAGACAGTTGCATGCATGCCTCTCAGATAATGACTCTATCAAGTCCCTACAGGCATCACCGGCACACCCTGCCATTAAACAGGGAGAGTTAATCAATTGATTGCTTAATAACACGACCTTGATCCCTCATGAATCAAATCAAAAGCATCGACAAGCATAATTGTCCCAATAACGGCACACGGGACACTAGTTTAGATAATGCAGCAGTTTAGTCACTGATGATGATTAAGGCTCTTTATGTATCCTCATTGTACCGCTAATGACCATTAAAGACAACATGCATCAAGCATCCGTGCATCACCAAAGTACCCTGTGTTTAGGAAACAGGGCCACAGGAGCAGAGTTGTAACACGGTCCAGTTTATGGAGGGATTAATTCCCGGCTGTGGCGCTGTCTGACTAGAATAATCCCTGTGTGTATCCATTGCTACCCTCCAAATAAAACATGAAATGATGGCTGACAGCCTGTTCTCCTTGAAAGTTAAGAAGAAATAATGATGGTGGCAGATATGCCACTGCAGTGTAGGATACTGGCGCTTTGATTTGAGATGTCTTCATGGGATGTGTTGTATTAAAGGATTGAAAACAGAATTCTAGTCGAGACAAACTTTAAAAATTATACGGAGAGGAAAATGTTTTACAAGTCCCAGAGGCAGAATAGTGAAGGAGCTGCATATGTTTTTTTGGCTTTCGGCCTTTGGCATCAGATGCCTTCTGACACTGAACACACTGGAGACTCTGCCATCTGCACAGATGGACATCAGCGCTGGAAAGGGACCTCTTTTATGGCTGCAGTTTATAACATGTGGCGCAAAAATGAAATCAGAGATAATGCATATGATTAATCTTTGACCTGATGTCATGGTAGAGTGTCTTATTTCACCCATTCAAAGGTTAAACACCAGCAAGGTTGTCAACTGGATAGAAACATAACATTTGGAGTGTAGCTGTAGTGTCCTTACTTCTAAATGAGGCTCAGTAAAGGTACACACTTTTCAGTTTCAATTGGTTTGCCCGCATATGAGCAAAAACATCTGTGATAAATGGCACTGATCACATTTAGATAAATGTTCTGCAGTGGATTAAACCTTTTGACACATGGCTACTCCAAATTCATTGCATTCAGTTATGGGGAGATATGAAATGAACTTCAAGCTTTGCCTTCTTTATTCATCTATACTTTTAATTCGAGATGTTCTTCCAGGAAAGGGTCAAACCGGTTTCTTATTTTATGTAGCAACCAGACAGCTGGCGAGAGTCCAGAACTTTCATTATCTCTTCTGAATGCTGGGGTATGCTTTGCAAATGTCTGGGTAAAACACATGCACACATCTCCTTGTGCCAGTAATTCTTTTTGCAGGCTTCCTTCAGCTCCAACTTAACCTCCTCAGACCATTCAAGGAGTTAAGGGTCATGGAATTTCAATGTGGCAGCCCAGATTCAGACTTCTCTGCCAGACTCATTCTATATTTTCTTTAATCTGATTAAGAAATATTGACGAGGGGAGGAAATGCTATCTGATCTAAGAAGCTTGCTAACGGTCAGTGACGAGCCAACTGAGCCAATTTATTGTAAACTAGCAAGCTTGTTAGTTTGGTTGCTAACAGTTCTCGCAGTTCTTTCAAATTACAAATTTCTAATATCAACTTCTCTCTCATAACTGTCCACAAACCATTCCCGCATGTTGCACTAACCAAAAGTGGATAGTGCAACATGCAATCTTACAAGCTGAGATTCCATTGAAATGTTCTTTTTGTTCTGACCTTAAGTCTGACACCTGGAAAGGACAAAGCTACTTCTCCAAGTGTTCAAGAGCTTGTATGCTTTGTCTTTCTATTGTAATTGTTTTTGTCCCGATTGACATTTGCTATGTTGGCTGTAGAAAACTTCTGTTGCTTTTATTAGATTTCAGCAAAGTCAAACACAATGAAAATGACGGAGAAACAGCTAAATTGTTTTGCTGTTTACAACAGTCAGCATCTGCATCGCTATGTGCATACACTACAGCACCGCCGGTTTGCACATTGTAATGTTCTTATAGCTGACAGAGTCACATTTTTAATTCTGCTTTAATCAGGGCATTTACATAAAAAATGCTCGCAACTTTTATTTTTTACATAAAATCATGCTTTTCACAAATAGTGTAGATTTCAGTTTAGGCCTTCCAAATAGTGCTTCAGTAGTTTAAGGAAATCCACAGTTGATAGCAGGTTGCTAGTGTGTCTATGACTAAGAGCTGATGGAACACAGGGTTCCCTGTAATTCTTGTGAGATCTGCCAAATAAATATATATAATACATATAAAAGTGATATATAAACCATATTTGCCAGACAGAACGTACTATTTTAAAAAAATGCCAAATTTCATCAGTGCCACTTTCTGAAAATTCTCTCTTTCGACAATATACTGTATGTACATGTCAATTTGAGATTGGTTGGTGAAGGATTGAGGTTATGGTATGGTTATGGCAAGGCAACTTAATCGACTGGTTAAGATTAATTGGAAAGATGATTTAAAAAATGGTGAACTTTAATTAACTGTTGCGTTGTGAGATGATGCAAGCTGTAGTCTTCTGCATGAACAGATGCAGATACAGCACTGTGCACATCCATCCTCCACATCAACCTCCACATCCTGACAATGCATTGGCACTGGACTTAATTTTTTCAATATGACTTTGATACCCAGGGTTAGTGGGCTGTATAAACGGTGCATACTCCCAGTTATGTGAAAGATAGTATCAGATACACATTTGGAAATGTATCACAAGGTCAAGTCAAGTCAATTTATAGACAGATATCAAAAATCACAAATTAGCCTCAGGGGATTTTACAATCTGTTTACAAGAATGTCTTTCATCTTTCTAACAGTGCTGTGCAGACGTTTCTTCATGATCCGCCTGAGGTTAACACTCAACCACTTTCTTGTAGTCCTACTACATATCTGTGCAGATCCATTCCATAGGATATGTTCGAGAAGTGCTGGAAGTTTTATCTGAAATCTGATGCATTCACAACAGATGCCTGATGCCCTGCAGAACCAGCATCCAGAAAGCTTTTATACTGTTGAACAGCTGCAGCAAAGCCACTGGTAGCTGCCTGATACATGTTCTGTTCACTCTGGATGCTGTCAGAGGACGCTGCCTTGCTCAGGCAGAACCCTCCCCAATTACCTTCTCACCGGGATGGCAGTGATGGACAGTCTGCAGGAGGAGGGCAGCGGCCACAGTGCTGTCTCCAGCTGTAATGAACATTGTAAGAGTGTAGAGAGGGACCAGGGCCAGAGTGTTGTGTTGAACTTTAGAGTGATGGACAGATTGGGGATGGGGGGCTTTTATTTTGTCAGTTTCATTCTTGTCAGTAAAGGAGGGTAAGAGATGGGCAGTGTGAATGAGGGGTACGTGGCCATAAGTGGGGTCCCATTAGGGTCGTGTGTTGAGGTGGGCGGTCTTCCTGTCACACCTTTGTCACACCAGGTTTAAAGAAGGCTGACAGAACTGCAACACCAGTATGTGGGGTTTGTTCGATTGCTCCATGTAGAGACGGGATAAATCATTTTTAGATCACTTTTTAAAAAAATATTTAGTATCAAGTTAATATCCTTATAAAGGTGAAGTGTATTCTTAATTATAAAAAGTAGTAGAAAGTCCACATTATCTGTATTAGTTGTAGATAGATGAATTCATTTTGGTTCAGTCACAACAACTCAAGGGTCCA